ACTCAGCTTCTTATTGGTGTTGTCATTGGCCTGCTGGACATAGGGCTCAACATGCTCCTTCACTGTATCCAGGTTCTGGGAGGCACGGGACTGGATCTCACCTATGTAGGTGGCCACAGTGCTAAAATAAGAAAGGAATGGTTCGATTAAAGTTTATATTTCTAAACGCAAGAGAGAATTCTAAAAGTTTCTGCCCAACTTACTTGCGAATCTCCTCAATGTCCTTATTGAGGCGCTTCTGCAGTTTATGGATGAAGTTGTTCATGCGGCTTTCGAGATCACCAGTGTTATGGTCCACCACAGCCTGGAGCTCACTGTGATACTCAGTGCCGCGCTCTTTGGCATCCAGCATGTCCTTCTGCAGTCTGTTGATCAGAAGCTGAACGTCTTGAGAAAGCTGGGCAGTGGAGGTCTCAGTGTAGGGAACCAGCTTGGTCTGAATGTTATTTTTGTATGTTTCAAGCTCTGCCATGGTGTCAGTGATCAGAGTGCTAGAAGCAGAAGAACAAGAAACACTAATCAATGTAAGTTCAGTGCAAGAAAAAACAAAGGAAAGTACTGATTAATTGCTCAGCTTCACTTACTCTAACTCCCTGCTGAGCTGAGAGGCCTTGAGGTTCTCCACAACTCCATCAGCATTTTGGCCCAGCTTGGCAATGTACTCCCAGAAGCGATCCACACTTTCCTCCCATGGATTTTTAGTGGCTTCAGCCTGGCGAACAGCACGGCCATTGCAGCCTATAATGGGCACACATAGAAAGCATGGATAAATAAAGTAACTCAAATATAATAAAGTGTGACTGATAAATACTAAACCAGCAAGTAAATCCACCTACCAGTGATGACTGCCAGAGCAAGGATCAGGGCTACAGCCTTCATGGTTGTTAGACAGTCAGATACACCTATGAAAAGCATAAGGAACGCTCAGAAAATCAGCAATACAATAACATTTACATTTGCATCTTCCACACTATTTACTGTGTTTTTATAAACTACGATATGGACTGGAAATTAAAAAAATAAAAAAAATAAAAAAAAATAAAAACAACGCGAGTTTTACGTTTAACACATATGTGCAAAAGTAAACTCAGCCAATAACTAAAGTGAAACTTCATAATTTCTAAGACTTGGCATCAAACAAAAGAGGACAGCGTGTTTCTCCGTTCTTTCTATCGTCTTTCACTCACCTGTGAGGTTGAGATTCCTCCGTGCTCTTTAGTTGGTGACTGGGGGTTTTTATAGCCCTGGGAGGCTGTCTCTGCGCGTGTTGCGCAGAGAGCGATCGCGCGGGCACGCTCGCGCGATGGTGATGATGATGTTGATTTGTCTGCAGATAATCATGTTTTCTTCTGCCTAACGTGCCACCGAAACCTAAACGGTGTGCTTTGTTGGAGGGGGAATTGAGCAATCTGGTTGTCACGAGAACAAACGGGGTAAAAGTTCCACGTTCAACGCAACGACAAATATTCGTCACATTATTCAGTTTTCACGTTTTTATTCTTAGATTTATTAGCAAAAGCAGTATCTGAAGAAATAAAAAATAAAAACTTTAGAGTAAAAGTTTCTCCGTCAGAGATTTAATGCCCTTATTGACGTATAGATTATTAGTGCAAAATGAAATAGAAATAAAGCCATAACCTACACAATCTATTAAAGTAGCCTACTCATACGTTTTTAATTGTTTTGAACAGTTGCCAAAACAATTAAACCGTTTGTGAGCATGCAGAAACACAAGTTTTAGATAGCGTCATCGGAGTTTATTTCGCAAATCACTTGTATGTTTTTCCTTTTTCTAACCTTTTTATTGCAGTATTGCCATTTGGCAAATAGTCTCCCCCCCCCTCTAGTGCTCATTGTAGGTTTGTTACAGATGCTTGAATAACTTAGGAGGCTGTTCACAACTTTGCATGTTTTCTTTGATGTTATCACCATGTGCTCCCTGAATACAAATCCTCATGTTTCGGCTCCAGGATGTAAAGCAGCCTTTCACAGATGCATTTCAATCTAAATACACAGACAGTATTGACACCTCACCTTTTCACCCCATATAGACATGCAACCCCCAAACACATGGCACATTTGCATGACAATCCTGCTCTCACATTCAACTGAATATAGTATGAGTGGTTTTACTGTTTGCATATCATATGCACCTCCATGTATTTTCCACTTTCTAGTTTCTAAATCTTTTTTTTTTTTTCGTGCAGACATAAAATAAAACAAATATCCAGTAAGTGCCAGAAGGCGTTACCCCAACATGATGAGCATGTTCAGACTCGGGGACACATTAGGTAACCCTCAACATGCCCGCTGTACAAAAGAAGGATTACAGGTAATAAATCCAATGAACAAAGTGAACATATTGAGCAAAAGATCTAAATTATACAGATGTGACAGAGGAAAAAAATAAAACATGGGTTTTATGTTGAAGGCTTTCACAACCAATTGTATTCTGAAAATTTCCAGGATTTTGAAACTGGTGTAAGTCAGGAAGTTTGGTGTAGAAAGAAGTTACTTACCCCTGCTTGTTAAACACCAAATATTTGTTTAGCAGCAGGACAGAACAGTCATGGGACATTGTGCATATTTTTCCTGCATTTACATTGCTTTAAAAGCTTTAAAGGTTTGTTGTTGCATTGGCTGTGAATTATTATTGTTACATTTGATAAAATTCACATATTTCTGCCGAACAAGTTGCAGGATGAGTTCACTCCTGCCCACGTATAATGACATTTGCCCTTCGGGCCTTGTCTTTTTTGTTGTCAGCCCATTTGGTTTTTCTCTTTTGTAATTAGGGCCAAAGTTCAAATGGGTTTGGTCAGGTAATTAACATGTTTACGTGATAACATTACAACATGATAACCCAAAGAGGTCAGTCTGTATAGAGGTATTTGAAAAATCCTTTGTTCTCCTTAAAAGGGGAGAACAATGAGAAGAAAGAAGTCATGAAGTCAAGGTTTAGGTACAGCTGTGCTAAAGTAAAGACCTTTTGATCCTTATTCCAAGACAAAAACGGGTATAGTGTATGTCACTGCAGGAGTCACAAGCTAAAATACTGTATGTTCAACTACAGTTCATTTGTTCAAACACAAAGTAATTACAACTTACTACCAAAAACATTGTCATGCAACATTTGGGATCTTATTTCCATGAGGAGCATGTTCAACAGTTTGTATGCAACAGTCTCCAACATTAGCTACTAAGACTTATTTTCATCTTGGTGATTACAAATACAGACAAGAGGCTTTGTGACTATTCTTGCAGAAAAAAATAGACCATCTTGACTATGCGTGTAACAAGTGGCCAGACTGCAGGAACTCAGTCTCATCCTAACTTTGCCATGCCATCAGGACAAAGATCAACAAGACAGACGGAGAAGTGAAAGAGAGAGAAACAAGAGGAACTATGAGGTAATACAATAAAACATCTGGCACATTCATCCCTACTGTAACGGCTTCTCCTTTTTTGTTTCACAGCAACAGACAGTTTGAACAAAAGTAACCCTGATGTTGTTCACTTGAATAAAGTTTAAGGAATTTGACTTTTTGGTTGGGATGATCTCACTCCATTAAATAGGCAGTCATCTGTTTAGATGAGTCAGTGAGGTTACTGCAGTTAATGCCTGTTTTCACGTTAAAAGCTATAAAACCACACAACCCACACAACCTCAACATCTGTGGTTTGAATCCCTGATAGGGGGAGTGGCATGACTGTAGCATGCTGACTCGAATCAAATGCTTGCAACAGCAGAATTTCCATAACCAAAAGTTACACTGCAGACTTCTGAGAGTGAAAGTGTAAGCCAACATTGCATTCAGTGTTTCAGGTTAAATTAATAAAGCCTCATATGTGGATCCAGCAACAGAGATCATACAGCAACATGTTCATCCTTGGTCACCAACAAAGTCAGTTGATATTATTGGGAAATAGGTTTATTTATTTATTTGTTTATTTATCACTAGAAAGATAATTACATTTTCATACTTTCATGCTGCCAATCACTAATTACCTCTACTGATTAAATAAATGAGTTATTGAAGTAATTCTTGGAGCTTTACACTGAGAAAAGTCATTCTTGCACTTTTGAACAATTTGCCAGTGCAGTTCTTCAGAGAGGGGTTAACCCCCCCTCATATTTAATTCTGAAAGCACTTCATGTGAAATGTACCAGCATGTGCTTTTCAGAATGACACAGCCTTTTTTTTGTCTATGTTGTATTTTTTTTTTCAACCGAATTCTGTGTCAAAGTGAACAAAATTAAAAGTGAGCCAGGAGCTCAAAACATTTTTTTGTTTTCTCCTATTTTTTTCTTCCACTGTCATACAGTTTTTCTTAAACCAAGATATTATGTTTTAATAATAGTAAGAATAATATTGTAAACTTTAGCTGATCTTGGAGAGTAACATTGTGGAGAGTCTGTGACAGCTTGGGGCAGAGCAGAGGAATGTTGTTTGCCACTGGGTAAGGCAGCGTGGGAGCAATCTGGCAGCGGGGATGGAGGCACAAAAGTGAAAACAAAGTGGGAGCTGGAGATGTTTATGAACTTCCAGACTTGCAGAAACAAACCTGAACATGCCCTGTCCAATACCCACAATTTTATCTAACAGGGGTGTGCCGGTGGGCCAAACCTTTGCAAGCAGCTACTGAACAAACAAGAAAGCTTAACCAGTGATTTTTGCTAAATGACAATGTACAAGCTTCCTTCCAGCTGTCCAAGTTGCCCAAATCTACAAGTAAAACCTCATACAGATCTATGTACTTTATAGCATGAAAACTTTTCTATAATAGCTACTAACGAGTCATCAAATCACCAGTCCTGAAAAAAGTGCTTTTAAAGCCAACTAACATGAACAAACCGCAAATCTCTTAGGTCATGATACAAATCTTTTTTTTAATTTTGTCTAGTTACTTCTTGTGTTAAAGTTTAAAGAAATATATTTTCCAGGTACCCACACTTATCTAACATCACCTTGACTCAAATAAGACAACAGGCTCAGAAATTATAGTTTTGCTTTCACTTTATTTTCTACAACATATGAAAACTGTTTGTGGTCACAGACCAACACATATTTTTTGTATGTATCAACTGTTTTTTTAAAACTGTAAATATATCAAACAACATCTGATTTTTTTTTAAATTCCAGATACCAGGAACATGTCCTTGGTATTTGGAATTCTTTAGATGCACTTTAGATGCACTTTTTTCTGTTTCATGTGAGGTGGATGTTAACTTAATTGGCTTTAACAAAGGATTCATAAAGGGAGGTGAGACGAGACTGGAGGTCCTGAGCATATGGGTCCAGCCTTTCCCTCAGCTCATCAACGTAGGGGGTGGCCATTTCTTTCACCTGCTGGGCTCTCTGTGCAATCTGACTCTGCACCCGCTCAGTCAAGGGGGCCACTTTTTCCTTGAAGTCTTGCAGATGCTGGTCCACCTTCTGCTTCAGGTCATCAGTGTAGGGACCAAGCTGAGTCTGCAGGTCTTTCATGCTCTGCTCCAGGCTGGTCTTTAGCTCTTCGCTCTTCTGCGTCAGGGTGGTCCTCAGGGCCTCAGTGTCCAGGGAATCTGTGTAGGTGGCCACCTCCTGTTTGAGCTGCTCAACCTTCTGCTGGACCTGTGTCTGAATGTTGTCAGTGTAAGGCTCGAGCCTCTCTCTGACTGTGCTCAGCTCTTGGATCACACGATCTCTCAACACATCAGCCTCTGTTGTGACTTTGGTGATCAGGTCCTGGGCTGTAGGTGGAAGCTGCTCCTGGAGGGTGACGGCATACTTGTTGGCAGCATCAACACTTTCTGTCAGGCGGGCACTAGATTAAAATAAGAAGAAAAAAAAAGCTAGTGAATACAAGGCAGCGCAGTTATATTTCTAGCTTATCCTGAATATTTTAGGCAATACTATAATTTGTTGTCTGTTAACATAATTAGAAAGTTTTGTATGATCTACCTGACATCCTGTCCGAACTGAGATGATCTAATCATCTTCACGGTTTCTTCAGCTGTCTGTGTAGCTTTGGCAACATAATCCCAGAAGGCATCAGTCACCACCTCCAGCTGTGGCTTGGGTGCATCAGCATAAAAAAGGTTGGCATTGCAGCCTGTTTAATGGAGACATGAATAAATTCAGAGTAGTGCAGATATTTCAGCTTTGTATATTCACTGGGATTTGACATTTATACAGGTCATATTCACTGATCACCAACGTTTTTCTTTATCTTGAGCGGAATAGTTGCTAATTATGTATATATGTTCTCATGAGCCAAAATTTATAGTAGAATAATGATTTTTCTTATACTCACCAGTGAAAACAGCTAGGACGAGCACAGCAAGGACCTTCATGGTTCTTAGACACTGTAACAAGAAAAGACCAGTTAGTTACCACAGCATGTTAACAACACAGTTAACAGTCAAAGAAAGATTCTTTTAGCTCTCCATCTTACCTGAGTTTGTTAGTGTATCTGTAAGTCCACTTGGTAGTGCTTGTATTAAACTGGTGAGGAACTGAGGCTTATATAGCAAGGCAGACAGCAATGATCACAAAGTCCAAACATTAGTGCTTTGCTGTCACCTTGCCTCACTCAGCTATCTTTGCTGACATCTTGTGCCAGATAATCCATGCAGCACGCCTCTTTGACACGAATACACACTGAGCGTATACCCCAATATACACAAGTACACATTAGTCATCATTTGTGAGTTGTCCATTAAAAAACAAGAAAAAACCAAGAACACCTATTGTCTTAAATTTAAAAACTACTCGAATGCTGTATTTTGATGATTGACCACTGTTAGAGTGATACAAAATCCATAAGTCTAACCTCAACCGACCCACACAGGCTAGTCTGTAATCACTTAGCTGATAGGTTTTTTCCAAGTCAGTGATAACTCTCTGCCAAGACAGATAGAGTCTATTGCTTTAATGTCTTTGTTGTCCTACTTGATTACGTGTACAGTAGGTATTTTATTGTCTCTCTTAGTTTTACATTTTGCCAGCAACACTGCTTCTGTGTCAGGGCAGTGTTCAGCAGGCCTATGTGTAAGTCTGACCAAAGGTTAGCAGACTTGAGCACTGTCAGCTTGTGAAGGCCAAAGTAACTGCTGTTTCACGTCAGACATGCCATAGTCCAATTGCCAGAAACCACTTTGGAGTCCCGAGTATTAATTATTTCATTTTTCCCTGTTGTTCTTCTCTTTTTCTCAAGTGTATGTGTATGAAACTTGAATCTCAATTTTACCAGAAATTTTTTTTTTTGAAAATGGTACCTCTATAAAGTACTGTGAGTGCAGTTTGACTATTTATAAAGCTGAAAAAATTGTCCGACAAAAGTACAAATTAACGTTTCCGTCCAAAAATCCAATAGATCAATTTTTGAAAATGGTCAAACATGAGATTTGCATCATGGAAGCACAACCAACAAATCTGGAGAAACTGTGTGATGCTTTCATGTCAGTATGGACCAGAATCTCAGAGGAATGTTTCCAGCAGTTGAATATATGCCATGAGGAATTAAGACAGTTCTGTAGGTACAATAGAATCCAATCTAGTACTAGAAATTGGGTAACCAATAAAACTACTGGTGAACGTATAACAGCTACTTAAACAGTATATTGTGATTTGTTGGTGATACCTATGTCATTGTCTTCTAGGTCTTATCTGTGCAGACCTAGAAGTCTGCACAGAGAAGTCATATAATAGTAATAGAAAGAAAGTATACTTTATTGATCCCAATGGAGAAATTCCTCTCTGCATTTAACCCATTCACGCTGTGAAGCAGTGGGCAGCCATTGGGCGCCCGGGGAGCAGTGTGTAGGGACGGTACCTTGCTCAGGGGTACCTCAGGTTAGCCATTCAGTGGATTCAAACCACTGACCTTCTGATCATGGGGCCACCACGCTACCTACTGAGCTGTCCCTGCCTGATATAAAGGGCTCAGGTCTTACCAACAATATAAACAATATCAGCATCAACTCAAACTACCTGTGGGAGAATAGTTACTTTCACAGGTGTCACTTACTTTTCTAAGCTATAGAAAATAAAACATTTTTACTATGGATAGTGACATTTGGCATATTGTATTGTAACTGAATGTAGATTATTAACCTCTACCTTAATATTCCATTAGGGAATTCAAATATCAAACCGTTTCTACCTGTTTTTGACACTAAAAGCAGTACATTTCTCTTTTTAAACCTTATTGTTTTTCAATACTCCTGCAGGTCAATTCATTTTGCACAATTCATGATGTACAACATTATGCATACATCTCATAGACAGGTCTTATTTACAGAAAATTGCTTTTTGCGTGCTTCATGTAAATATGTCAGATGTGCTTCCACCCTTAATGATTGCTTGTCGTTATGATGAAAATTTTAAGTCATTCCAGAGAGTTGGAAATAACATTTACTTACTCTTTCTTCTAACAGTTTCTTTTAATAACTTAACATGCCCTAGTATCTATGCCAATCAAAGGAATAAGGTACCACTATGTCAGTAGCTAAAAAATAATGTACCTATGAAGTGTTCAGTAGAAGTGAAAGAAAATCTTATTATACATGATTATTTTGAGGTCTTTTTAAACCACAGTTTTCAATTTAAGAAACCATTTAAGCATCTCATACTACTTAAGTCACACTGACCCTCATACAAAGTCCACTAATCTTAGCATACCAAAGTTATCTGAAGTTATCTAGAGGCTGGTACTGCTGAACAGCAATGTGGGCAGTTAATAAGCCGATGATACCCTAAAGACTTTATAGAGAGGGGTGAGAGAAGAACTAATACAAGATTTATTGTTGAGTGATAAATGTATTCACATTAGGAGAATACTAAAATCCAGAAGTGCTACCACAATAGTAACCAGGGGGGGGGAGTGGTGTTACAACACGGCAAGGACTTCTGGACTTTGTGCTCTTAACTATTACTGTCATCTGACATCAGTATATATACACGGAAGCACTGTTCCAACACACATACACTAAACCTCAAGAGATACACAAGCCCAAAGCAGGTGAGAATCTCACTACATTTTAAACAATATTTTAAGAGGCAAATCTAAAAGTTATGACCTTTTTAAGACTACTTAAAACTTAATCAGACTGTTATTGTTTTTCAGCTAGTTGCAGTCATGAAGGTGTTTATGGTACTAGTCGTCGCAGCGCTCTCTGGTAATTTCCAAGCTTCTTAATTATATCCCAAAAATGTGATTCTGTTGATCTGGACGTAGCATTTTCACTGAAAGAATCCAAGTGTCAGTCAGTTGGATGAGTCTCTCACAGAGACTAAAGAAGTCACTTGGATGAATGACAAAACCTTTTTCTCACTGAAAACGCTACGTCCAGATGAACAGAATCAACTTTTTGTGATTTCCTTACCTGGATGATTGAGCATGCATCAAGACTTTCTGATTATAGTTCAACGTTAATGGCAATGGCAATAATTAACTGTACTGTTCTCACACCACGCGTGTTTCCATCCAACAGGCTGCCATGCCAACCTTTTCTATGCTGATGCTCCCAAGCCGCAGTTGGAAGTGCTGACCGATGTTTTCTGGGATTACATTGCCAAGGCCACACAGACAGCTGATGATACACTCCAGATGATAAGAAACTCTCCAATTGGACAAGAAGTCAAGTAAGTTCTTTGACACACTGCACTAGCATGACTGGCCCTATGATGGGCATATGCCTCATGACTGTTATGGGGTCATTCAAGCCACTGATGATCTGGCAATCACTATCTGTCCTCTAGTGCCCGGCTGACAGAAAGCGCTGACTTAGCCAGCAAGTATGCAGTCACCCTCCAGGAACAGCTTCAGCCTGCAGCCCAGGACCTGATCACCAAAGTTACCACAGAGGCTGATGTGTTGAGAGAACGTGTCACGCAGGAACTAAACACAGTCAAGGAGAAGCTCCAGCCCTACACTGAGAACATGCAGACCCAGGTTCATCAGAGAGTGGAGCAGCTCAAGCAAGAGTTGGTTACTTATGCAGATTCCCTGGACTCTGAAGCCCTAAGGACCACCCTGATGCAGAAGAGTGAGGAGCTAAAGACCAGCTTGGAGCAGAGTGTAAAGGATCTGCAGTCTCAACTGGGTCCCTACACAGATGACCTGAAGCAGAAAGTGGACCAGCACCTGCGGGACTTCCAAAAACGTGTTGCCCCTATGACTGAAAAAGTCCATGTAGAGCTCACTCACAGAGCGCACCTGGTGAAACAAATGGTTGCCCCTTATGCAGAAGACCTTAAGGAAAAGCTTGACCCCTATGCCCAAGACCTCCAGGCCCAACTCATGTCCCTCTACCAGTCCTTTGTCAACACAAACTAAGTCACCCTCCATCTACTATATCATTTTCAAAGATACCGAACTTGCTGGTCTACCTCTGTTTTGAAGAAATACAATAATTGAATATCTGTCTTGTACTGTAAACAATATTGTGTTTGCACCCCACCCTCCACCGCATTATTTATGGATAAGTGCAAACATATTAAAACAAATCCCTGCACTTATCAAAAATGTAAATATTCCATTTTTATTGTGTTGTGAAGTTTGAAACTGTGACCCTTTTGTAATTTCACTAAGTTATCTGAAATAAATACAAAAATCTGGAAATTATTCATCTGGCTAACTTTTGAATCGACTTCTCTCTTTTACATAAAATGAAACTCTAGAAAGAAATCTCATCGCGAAACATCTTGTTTCAACACAAACTATGACAAAGTATGATGAGAAGTGGTTCTGAAAGCACACAACAGTGAATTCTTCCATGTGTTTGAGTGATGCACAGATAGATGGAGGGACCACACGGGGTCACAAGAAACAGTAGTGTGTGTGTGTGTGTGTGTCTGTTCATGCATGTGTTTGCTTTTTCTTTCTTTCTTTTTTTCCCCCAGGAGGCAAAAAGTATTTTGACTCCAATGTCTTAACATGTCCTGGCTTCTGCAAGAGTTTCGGCTTCTAGTTTTTCCAGAGGCACTTTTGTTCTTCTCAGTGCTTGCCATTAAAACTACACATTACATATATCAACAGCAAAACTGAAAAAAAAAGCTGACCAATGTAATCCAAGAGACTAAGAAGTTAATCCCTTCGATTCAAAGAATTTAGGATTTTACATTGTCATGAAATTTGACATATTTTGCATTTATTGAACCCCCCCCCACCCCTGTTGTTGTAACTGTATAACGCCTGGTCTTATCCCTCTTATCTTGCCCCTACTGACAGTGCCAGCATCCAACGTGGAGGGTTAGAGTCCAATAACAATAACAACGCATTCACATGCACACACAACACACACAAAACATCTGTTTCCTGATTATTTACTACTGCTCTGCTTTTTTTTTTGACTGATTCAATGGGTAATTTACTTGTATGTCTAAAGGTCTGTCCTACATAAATAAATCTAAATCCTTAGCATCCATTCTTCCCTAAATGCAGTTAGTGATAAGGATTGCATTCAATGAGAGACACGCTCCTCAAATTGCTCTAAAAGCTCTGTGAGACTTTTGAA